ATAGCACTTGTAAATTATCTGCTAAAGAAACTAAGATCAATGACGAATTAAATATTTATGTCAACTGCCATGTACGGAAGTTTGTAACTTAGACCGCGCGCGGGTCGCGCACAAGTTCAAGTATGAAGGGCAAGGAGCGGCGCAGGCACATTCGCAAGCATTTCACTCCAAGGCAAAGGTTGCGCTGACCTTTCGCGCACATTGGGGGTGTGACCGGCTTGGAAAAGGATGGGTAGGCGTTATACTTCGCCAGAGGCTAGATTTTTTAATGTTATAAACAATTTTGTTGTAATGGGAGAAATTTCATTAATACTTTGTTACTAAAGCGAGTGTTTCAGTGCCTTTTTTGTTTCGAATTTGGTTATCCTTATTTTCCTCAAAGGGTCCTCACATAGATGAAAAAGGTGCAACACGGATAATTTTTGTGGGATAGTAGGTCTCATTTAACTTCATAATATAGTAAAATATGGTCGACATAAATTGAACTCAATGTTAGCATCCCTCATCATTATCATCATTAACAGCCTATAAGTGGCCATTGCTGACAAAAGGCCTCTTCTAACACGGAGAAACATACCTAAGGAATAACAAATTTTTCAGACTCGAGGACCTCACCCAGTAATTCACTTTTTGATTCTAGTTCCAAAAAGCCGTATATAGCCCTGCACAGTACCAACTACCAAGGCAGTCTTAGTTGTATTCAAGTTGAGTACAGAAATGTTTGTAAACATTCTGTTTTTATAGAATAGGGGTCAAACGAATAAACGGACCAAAGACGAATGATAAATAACTGCCTCATTGGCCGATTGGTCGTAATTGCGACTGCCGGGCAAGGGGTCTCAGGTTAGATTCCCGGGTCGGGCAAAGTTTTACTGGATTTTTTTTTAATCTCAGTAGTAGTACGGAGTCTGGCACTGTGCCCGGTATAAGGCAGTAGGCTCACCCCCTATTACATGGGACTCATAACGTAAGTAGTGAAAACTGAGTGTTATATTGTGCAGTGGCATTAAGTGCCGTAAATGTCCGCACCTCTGCCTACCCCTTCGGGGATAAAAGGCTTACCTAATAATGTTACAATAGTTTAAGTGAACATCCGCTACACCAAATTATATTGTCCTCCTTGATACTAAACATTCTTATACAGTAATGCACTTCTTATTTCTCGGACCTAGGACACTAAACCCGGTATTTTTAGGCATTTCCTCACAAAATTCGCGACTTGAATATATTAGCAACTAAATGGTGTTTACTGTTTTATTGACAAACAGCTAAGGAGTGAGGTCGTCAATCCTGCTTGTCTCGTGCTGCGAGTGTGGCGTGATGTTCATTCTCGTCGCGTGGAGTAAACAATGCATGCGCCGCATTTGTATACGATGCTACTTATAATTGGAACTTGGGACTTTATGCACAATATTTAGAGGTTACTGAGCAGTGTGGCTTTGTTTCTATGTATTTATTTATAGCCTCACCCCTATTACATGGGACTCATAACATAAATAGTGAAAAGTGGGTGTTACATTGTACAGTGGCATAATGTGCACCTCTGCCTACCCCTTCGAGGATAAAAGGCGTGATGTTTATGTATGTATTTATTTATTTGTTTGAAGTCGAATAGCAACCTCTTTGGTATAATTGATATAAACTTTCAGTATTAATACGGGAGTCATTGGCTAGCACGTGGTAGTAGAGTTCTTTTCAGAAGCTGCCTCGTATAGCTTTGTTAATTATCATTTCATTGCCATTATTTAAATGATAATTCATAGCAATAAAATTATTACTTACGTTTCCTTCTTAACTCGTCGAGTACCGGTTTTGTAGACACAATTATAAAACAATAGGTTGCGGTCACCGGTGACCGCTTGGTGTTTGACAGTTTAATACTGTTAGGTATGTCTCGCTACCATCGAGACCAATTATTTATTTTACTCACCAATACAATTGCACCATACCTTACCTGACGATGACGTCACAAGATTTTGGTCCCTACCTTTAACTACCCTCTGTAGTCAACTTTAACAAAACGAGTAGATATTTGTAGTGTGTTTGGTTCATAACAATAAAATGCGTAAAATAGGTGATTTTCTTGTAAAAATTCGTCTAAACAACTAAAGGTAAATAATCATTTTCACATTACATTAAATATTTATTTTCATTATATCCACCCAAAGGTTGTCTGGTAGAAATCAGTATAAGTGATAAGACCGCCTTTGTGTCCATTACTATTTTTATTTATATTTGTCATTTCCTTTTCTGTATGTACTGTATTATTAATGGTGTACAATAAAGTTATATTCTATTCTAC